AGTTTGCTTTGTTTGCCTGGGAAAGTAGAGGCTTGTCACCCCAACCTGAGAATGGGCCTGACTGTGAGTACAACCTGTGGCATGTGAGAACCCCAGCACCAGGTGGCCTTCTTTGTTAGGCTGCTTTTCTGGATACCACTAACAGATTATACGGTGTGCTTCCATCACTGCACTCATATATGCATTTGAGGGCAAAGCTATTAAGCTCATCCTATTTTTTTTTTATTTTGGAAAATACTTCTTTCATGCAACTATGGTTTTCTATAATCTCAAAAGATCGCCTTTCAATCCCATGACCTATACAATCAGTCATCATTGCCTTAATAAATGAAAAAGTAGACCGGGTGCAGTGGCTCACGCCTATAATCCTACCACTCTGGGAGGCAGAGGCAGGTGGATTGCTTGAGCTCACGAGCTCGAGACCAGCCTGAGCATGAGTGAGATACCATCTCTACTAAAACTAGAAAAACTGAGGCAAAAGGATTGCTTGAGCTCAAGAGCTGGAGGCTGCTGTGAGCTATGATGATGCCATGGCACTCTACCCAGGCGACAGCTCAAAGAAGAGACTGTCTCAAAGAAAAAGAAAGAAAGAAAGAAAGAAAGAGAGAAAGAGAGAAAGAAGGAAAGAAAGAAAGAAAGAAAAAGAGAAAGTATTTTAAATCAACACAGGTTAAGAATGTAGCTTAAGAGGGTGGTGCCTGTGGCTCAGTGAGTAGGGAGGGTGTCAGCCCCATATACCAAGGGTGGTGAGTTCAAACCCAGCCCTGGCCAAACTGCAACAACAAAAAATAGAAAATAAAAAAAAAAAAAGAATGTAGCCTAAGGTATCACCAAACTCCAACCAAATTCCAGAAAACCCACCTTTTCAAAATAATACCACCAAAAAGGAAAAACCAAAATTTAGAAATTTTTCAAGGGAATATTCACATGAAAAAAAGATAAAATATTCACTTATGTGTTTGGTAGTTTCATAAAGTTGAACTTGTGTGGCATCTGTAATGAATGTTTGACAGTATACAATTCTCTAACCTTTCTACCCTTTGTAGGTTAGTGGGATTTTATTCAAAATTGTTCTATTTTTATTTTTAAAAGACAATTTTTCTGAAGTTTACAAACCTTCCCTCAATTACCACTGTAACTGCAATATTTTAGACATGTTTTCAGGCTGACATCAAAGTAGTAAAAAATAAAATAAAATTTAGGGCTGCCGCTCTCTATGATATTTTTCAAAACACAAATAACAGCCAGAGGACCAGGCACTTGAATTGTAAACTATCCCCCACCCACTCTCATCAGTTTCAATAATTAAGTACTGTGTTCCATGTACGAATTACTCCTTACCCTAACATCTAAATATTTATAAATTCACTCATTTAGCTAAGAATTTGTATCTGGTTTTAAATATTTTAAATAATTTAGTATAGTTGAACCTTCTTATAAAACCTAGCTCTTCTGTATGTTAATTTGAATACTATACATGTCAGATTGAGCCCTGAACACAAATCCATATGGAAGTAACACTGTATGGAGAACACACATCCTAAAGGATACTGATGTTAGAAAAGAATTAGGGTTATTTATTGAAATATGCACACACATGGTCCTATACACATGCACACACATACTACAGAGACAGTATGTAAGACAGTGAATGAGTGATGGACAGACATGGAAGGAGGGAGAGAAGTTCATGAGCAATTTCCATAATCTGAAGTCTACTTATCCTATTTTTCCACTACAAAGGCCCCCAACAAAGTACACCAACTTTCTGGACAAAATCTAAAGCATGCTTTAGAATGGCTGCCCCCCAATTGCTTTTTCAAGATGTACTGACCTGCACTCTGGATTCAGTCAAATTCAGGCGTCCTGCCAGCTGCTCTCTGAGGGGGAAAATTGCAAATGTTCAGTATTTGGAGTTGTAGATAAACTGAAGTACATGGATGTACATTATTTCTATGCCCCACCTCCCTGTGCAGTTTTCTGTAATACAGTGGAACCTCGATTTAGGGAGGGTTTCCCCATGGACAATGCAGCTGTTAAAATCAGAGAAAAAAAGGAATACATGTGAAAGTGCCTGGTAGTATGTTTGTTAGCTGAATATGAGTCTATCAATTTTTCAGTTTGCATAACAGAAAAGAACCACCCTGGAAATCTTTTTTTTCTGAGGTCCCTCCATGAAAATAAATAAAACGCCAAAACACCTTTAAAGCAGTATTTTGAATTATACCATTTCTATTTATTATAAAAAGAAGAGGTGAATTCTGAAGGAGGGAACCCCAAACCACATCTGCCAAGGGCACCCTAGCAAAATTGGCTTTTTCGGCTCTTTAGCAGGTGAAGGCTACAGCGAACCAGAAAAAGCTCCCTGAAACTGCACAGCGACCTGTCCTGGTCCCCAGTTTCAGCTGAGTTAGAATAGGCTTGCCCCTTCCTATAATGCAGGGATCGGATTCACAAGAGCTCTCGAACAGGCAAGGGTCGCTAGCTTCGGAAAACTCCGAACTCTGCCGCCTAGTAGCAAGTAAAAGCGCGCGCCACGTGGCAGGGCCGTTACTATGGGGAAACCAGGAAGACGCTCGTCTCGCTTCCAAAACTTAAAAGGGAGCTAAGAAACTCAATGATTAAGATAAATAGTATTTTAATGCAATATTCAAAAAATCAAAATTAATGCAAAAAGTCCATGATGAACAAATTACCAAAGTTTCAAATAAAGGCAGGATCCGACCCTGCCGCTCTTACATCCTAGCCCCGCCCCTTACAGCAGCACCACCACCCTAGCCCACGCCGCCCACACCAGAGCGAGGCAGAATTGGCGCTCTTGAGCCTCGGTGCGTGGCTTTTTGCTCCAGAATAAAGGGAAGGGGTCACGGGAAATAGTTAAAGGTGCTCTAGGATGAGCCCAACCCCCCTTCCCCAGCAAGCCACTTACCTGGCCACCAAGTCGGGGTATTGAACGCGTTGGAAAAAGTTCTCCAGCTCCTGCACCTGCACATCGGTGAACGTGGTGCGGCCGCGGCGCTGCTTCCTTTCCACGAGCCGTAGCCCCTCAGCCAGGCGCTCCAGCTCCCTCCGCAGCTGCTCTGGTTCCAGGATGCCGCCACCTTCACGGTCTTCCCGGTCCAAAGGACCTACCATCACTCCTGCTTCTGCTCCCGCTCCTGCGTCTGCTCCCGCTCCTGCGTCTGCTCCCGCTCCTGCTCCCGGTTCTGCTCCCTCTCCTGCTCCCGGTTCTCCCTCTCCTGCTCCCGGTTCTCCCTCTCCTGCTCCCGGTTCTGCTCCCTCTCCTGCTCCCGGTTCTGCTACCGGTTCTGCTACCGGTTCTGCTCCCGCTCCATGCTCAGGACCAGACCGGATAGACCCGTCTTCTACTATTACGATTTTCGACACATCAGGCTTCACATCTGGGAAGGGAGGAAAGCAAAAAAGAGATACCAGGGCGCTGGAGTCCCCCCACCCGGCGCGTGGGTAGGAGGCAAGGGGCCGCTATGGAAGCGGAGCGGCGACGGCCGCATAGCGTCCCGTCTACTCGCGTCTCCCAGAGAAAGTTCTCCTGGAGTTCGCGAAAACACCTGTCCCGGTTTAGGCACTGACCAGGCATTTCTTCCTTGTCCACGCCGACTCCCAGGCTGCGGCAACTATAGCCACACCTGGCGCAAGCCATAGAAACCTCCATGTCTTCAAGTGCTGTCGATGAAGTCGGGCACTTCTGCAGACTGTGCATTGCAGCCAGTGGCGTTCCGGGATTTGGAGGTAGCGCTGGGACCAACCGCTGAGCGGTGCGCTCTCCAGCTCCGGGACCTCCTTCTGACGCCGCAGTCTGGGACTTGCGCTCCTTATATAGCGGCACGGGCGCCTTCCGCAGGTTCAAAACCTACGCGCCCTCGTGTCGGTTATCCGCCCTGTATTAGTATTCGCGGTACATCTCGTGATGTGGGTGGGACCTGATGGGAGGGGGTGCAGTCGCGGCTAGGGCGTATAAAAAAATAGGGCGAGGATGTGCAAGAATGGTGTTGGTGGTAGTGGGCATATTGTGAGGGGAACGGTGGCTCCAATCTGCAGTTTAACAACCCCTCTCAATTTAGGGTCCTTGATTGAAGGAAGGGGCTGTGCTGGAATGTGAACTCCAATTTGGGGGCGGCAGGGGAAAGAGTTCCAACTAGTTCCAGTATCTTGTGAGGAGACGTTGAAGACAGTATTCCTCCGCCCAACCGTCGATGTTCCCCCGCCTGGCGCGTGGCGTGGTAGTCTCTATGACTGAGCGTTAGGGCAAAGGAAAATGCAGGCGCTCAGCAGCCCAAGCGTACTTTAAGTGAAGTTGTGAGTCTACTTGGCATTGGGTTCTGAGTATGTGAGCATGATTCCCCCTTCCTAGAATTTCATGACTATTATAGATAAGACTGTATGGGTGTATACAGTTCGCCCCCAAAGTCTGCGTACCGGGCTAGCAAATAAGATGCAATGATTGGCTAGGAGGGTACTTGCTTCAGGTTTTTAAAAGCAGAGCCCAACGTGCATCCCAAGAGCGGGAGTTTGGGGCTGGGTTTGCAGAGCTGTCGGGGGACTCAGATGCACTCTGCCAGAAACCCCATGTGCTTCCTGAGAATGCTCCAAGGACTTCAGATTTTTTGCAATGAACCCATGTCAGCATGCAGGTGTAGAAACCTGCCAAATGCTTAGTGCGCCCAAGAATGCTTATGCAACCGGGACCCCTTCCTTTGGTTTGTGGCACTTGCAACATTTGCTGTTCTTGCAGCAGTGCGCTTTGCAGAAGCGGGGTTTGCAGGAGGCTAAAGCACGGTTCCTGGGAGAGCTCCCGCCATCGCCCCTACCGCTTTATTCCATTTTATTCCCTTCCCCCTCCCTTAGAACTATTTTTCTGAGTTTTGGCTCCGTACTCATGTATCAAATAAAAAAAAAAAACCCCAGGCAGCAATTACAAAGAAGTGGAGAATATTTTATAAAATTTTGTAATGAATATTTTGTAAATAAAGGTACATTTTAAAAAGGGCTTCTGTCGTGAGTGGCACACGTGAGGCAACTCAACTGCTCTTGGTGCAGAATCGACATCAAGAGATTTCGGAGGCAGCATTTTTTTTGGTACCTGGGCAGCTGGTGATCGTTGGTCCCAGCGCCCGAAAGAAAAAAAAAAAAAGGTACATTTAACTACGATTTCCCATTTTTCCTATGTATGGCGACTTCAGGGGCATGTTTTTGAATATCCTGTTATTATAAGAACAACTTGTAATAATGGCCCCTTATGCCTGGCACTGTACATGATTTTCCTTACATTTTATTTATTTATTTATTTATTTAGAGACAGGGTCTTCCTCAGTCACCCGCTGAAGTGCAGTGGTGTCAGCCCAGTTCATAACAACGTCAGACTCCTGGGCTCAACAGACCCTCCCACCTCAGGCTCCAGATAGCTGGGAATACAGGCATGATGCTACATAATTTTATTATTATTGCTATTTATTTATTTTTTGTAGAGACAGAGTCTTACTTTATCCCCCTCAGTGGAGTACCGTGGCGTCACACAGCTCACAGCAACCTTCAACTCCTGGGCTTAGGTGATTCTCTTGCCTCAGCCTTCGGAGTAGCCGGGACTACAGGCACCCGCCACAACGTCCAGCTATTTTTTTTGTTGCAATTTGACGGGGGCGGGTTTGAACTCGCCAACCTCAGTATACGGGGCTGGTGCCCTGCCCACTGAGCCACAGGCGCCATGCAATGCTACATAATTTTTAAAATTAATTTTATTTTTTTGCTCTCGTTGTGTTGCTTAGACTGATTTTGAACTCCTGTGCTCAAGTGATCCTCCTGCTCAGCCTGCCAAAGTGCTAGAACTGCAGGCATGAACCACTGCACTGCGCAGATTTATCTTTTACCTTTATAATCACCATTATTATCATTTTTTCCTCAGTCTTGTGTAAAAAAAGACTGAGCCCTGGAGAGACCAGGCAATTTGTCAGTGGTCATACAAATGAGTTTGACAACAAAGTGTGTGCACTTTCCTCCATATTACTGCTGTCATATTTCAAAGGAGTAAATAATGGGATTCCAGACAGGGGTAGTGGAGGTGGAAGGTATTTGGGGGAAGAAGGCCACTGGGCAGTGTCTTTATAAATCCTCTCCTCTCCTCCACTTCACTTAGCATCAGGACCTCAAATAAGTATCCCTAAGCCAGAAGTATGGGATCCAGCAGTGCTGAGTTTCCCCAGTCCACTTCTTCACATTTTCTCAATGCTTGAGAGGGTATTGACCAAACAAAGTGCTTCCTTCACTAGTTGCTGAGCTTGTTTCTGGAAGACCCAGTTAGGAGGGAGAAGTCATGAGGCCAACCTTCATGTCAGGGCCACATTTTAACTTGTGGACCCTTAGGCCTTTTTTCCTTCTTGGGCCTATTTCTCAAAAAATATATATATTTCAAATTAGATTTTACTCTTTGGGGTCCGAGGATGCCTTCCAGCCGCTACCATGCTTACATTATGGACACTAGCTGTGTGCAGCCCACAGAGCTGGCCAGGGTCACCAAGGTGCTGGGCAGGACAGGCTCCCAGGGACAGTGCATGCAGGTGCACATGGACTTTATGGACGACCTGAGCTGCTCTGTCATTTGCAGTGTGAAAGGTCCGGTGTGCAAGAGTGAGGTGCTCACCCTGTTAGAGTCAGAGCAAGAAGCACCAAGGCTGCACTGAACCTGACAGTTGGGTCCTGTATGTCAGGGTTGCAAGCACTTGGATTAATGGGGATGATCTGGGAGTGTTAAATAAAGCATTTGTATGTATGTAAAAAATAAAAATAAAATTAGATTGTACAACTGTGTTGTATAAAGAGGAATAGAATCTGGGAAGAATTATATTAACTTTTTCTTCTTATTTCAAAAGAAATTAAGACATTTTCTTTTCTTTTTTTTTTTTAAGAGAGTCTCACTTTATCGCCCTCTGTAGAGTGCTGTGACGTCGCAGCTCACAGCAACCTCCAACTCCTGGGCTTAGGTGATTCTCTTGCCTCAGCCTACCAAGTAGCTGGGACTACAGGCACCCACCACAATGCTGGGCTATTTTTGTTGTTGTTGCAGTTTGGCTGGGGCCAGGTTTGAACCCACCACCCTCAGTATATGGAACCAGCACCCTACTCACTGAGCCATAGGCACCGCCCAAGAAATTAAGACATTTTCATAGGCCACTAAAATTACAGTGGACAGTGGGCACTGTGACTGCTGTGCTTACTAGATAAGTCCTCCTGTGTTGTGTTCTCAGAGTGGGGTGGATAGGAAATCAGCTAATACATAGTTGGTTTTCTCTTTTCTTTCTCTTCTCTGCCCTCTCCTCTCCTCTCCTCTCCTCTCCTCTCCTCTCCTCTCCTCTCCTCTCCTCTCTTCTCCTCTCCCTTACTTTCCTTTCCTTTCCCTCTTTTTTTTTTTTTTTTGCTCTGTGGCCTAGGCTGGAGGAGTGCAGTGGCACTACCACAGCCCACAGTAACCTCAAACCGGGTTCAAGTGATTCTCCCACCTTAGCCTCCCAAGTGCAGGCATGTGCCTCCATGCCCAGCCAAATTTATTTATTTATTTATTTGGGACAGGGGCTCTTTCTGTCATCCAGGCTGGAAAGCAGTGCCACAATAATAGCTTGCTATAACCTTAAACTCCTGGCCTCAAGCAATCCCCCTGCCCTGGACTCCCAAAATGCTGGGATTACAGGCATGAGGCCCAGTACTTTGCCTAGCCAATTCACTTACAAAAAGATGGCAAGGGGCTGGGGCAAAGTGGTTTATGCCTATAATCCTAGTACTCTGGGAGGCCAAGACAGGCAGAATGCTTGAGCTCAGGAGTTTGGGACCAGGCTGAGCAAGTGTGAGAGATCATCTGTACTAAAAGTAGGAAAAACTAGCCAGGTGTGGTGTAGCATGCCTATAGTCCCAGCTACTCAGGAGGCTGAGGCAAGAGGATTGCTTGAGTCTAGGAGTTTGGGGTTGCTATGAGCTATAATGCCAAGGCACTCTACCCAGGGCAACAGTGAGACTCTGTCTCAAAATAAATAAATAATGAAAAGATGTCAAGGGATAGCAACTCCATAGCCTCTCTCATTTTAATCAATGTATTCCCTTCTCAGGCTGGCTCTTGTGGGTTCTGGAAGCTTTCCTCTCTTTGGGATAAATACCTGGTGAACAATTTTGGCCTGGGATGAGACCCATATGAGTTATAATCAAGGTATGCAAAAAAAAAAAAAAAAAAGGTGGCGCCTATGGCTTAAAGGAATAGGGCGCCAGCCCCATATGCAAGAGGTGGTGGGTTCAAACCCAGCCCCAGCCAAAAACTGCCCCCCCCCAAAAAAGCTGTGAAGTAGGTACAGGTGTGTTCTGTCACATCCCACATTTCCATGGGTTACCAATGTTTTCTAAACCTGGGCCAATCATGTGCCCCTTTGTAAATTTTGCCATAGCTGGCTACCAGACATGATATTATTTACTCTACTTAACACGATTATTTAGATTGATTTGCATTTTTAAAACCTTAAATATGTAATAGAATCTCATCCTATGCAAAAATAGCTGTGACTTCAAGAGTTTACTATACTAGATTATGTGGTGTAGAGTATAGCAATAGTGGAGAGCAGGGACCCTGAAGCCAGACAGCTGACATTTGAATCCCGGAGTTTTTTTTTTTTTTTTTTGGCCGGGGCTGGATTTGAACCCGCCACCTCCAGCACATGGGGCTGGCGCCCTACTCCTTTGAGCCACAGGTGCCGCCCATCCTGGATTTTTTTTTTTTTTTTGCCATTTGCTAACTACCCTAGCTAACTTGGTGGATTACTTCTCTTTTTGCCTCAGTTTTCTCATCTGTAAAATGGTGAATAACCAATAATACCTAATTCATAGGATTATTGTGAGGATTCACTAACATGGTAATAGTCTACAGTTAGCTAATTCTTATTGTTGTGTATATAGTCCAGGCGTCCTCAAACTACAGTCCGCGGGCCACACGCGGCCTGCCTAGGACATTTATCCAGCCTACCAGGTGTTTTTGCCACCGCTGCCTGTTCTGCTTAGCAGTCAACTCGTCCCGGGGCCCGCAGTCCGGCCCTCCAACGGTCTGAGGGACAATGAACTGGCCCCCTGTTTAAAAAGTTTGAGGACCCCTGGTATCGATATTATTAATATATGCAAAGCACTGTTCAAAGTAAGATGAAATATTAACACATAAAATCCTCGTAGCAACACTATGAAGGTGGATACTATTATTATTTTATGATTCTCACTTTATAGATGATGTTATTGAGTCTCAGAGAGGTTAAATAACTTGCCTAAAGACATCTAGCCCAGAACTGTAATACATTGGACTTGAACAGAGCTTATTAGAATGATGCTTTGTAAATAGAACATGCTGTGTAATGGGAGCTATTATGATTTTTTAAAACAAATTTTACACTCTTTATTAATTTCTAGTATATTTGCAATGTTGTACAACCATCACTATTATCTAATTTCAGAATGTTTTCATCACCTTATGAAGAAAGCCTGTACCCTAGCAGTCATTCCCCATTCCCCCCTCTCTGCAGCTCCTGGTAACTAGTGCACTTTCTATTTCTATGGATTTTCCTATTCGGGAGGTTTAACGTAAATTGAATCATACAATATGTGACCATTTGTATCTGGCTTCTTTCACTAGCATCCTGATTTTGAGGTTCATCCATGTGGTAGCATATATCAGTACTTCACCCCTTTTTATGGCTTTGGCACTACCATACAGAGGTGGCACACCTGCTTGCTTTTCCCTGGCTGAAAGCAGGCTGGCTGGTGCAGTTTCCAGATACTTTACACAAGGGATGTGCTCTTGAAAATCAAATTTTATGTTAAAGCATTCTACCCGTGAGAAGTTGTTCTGCCATGAAATAACCCCTTTGTAAAGAAAGTAATTAAGACCAGGGTGTTTGTTGTGGTTTGCAAATTGAAGCAATCTCTAGATAATGTTTAGAGACTCTTGGACTTAAGAGAACTATAATACTGTGGAAGTTTCATGCTCATAGATTTCATTTATGCCGCAGGTGAGGGTCACCTGTCTCAGGTGCAGTCAGCAGTTGGAATGGGGTAGAGAGGCTTTCTGTTCCTTAAGACCAGTCACAGCACTATGTGTTTTT